CTCCTCTCAAGTACAATTTGTACAAATATATGCATGTATGTCCAAAATGGCAACTTGAGGTAAGTTTTATTAATGTTGGATAAGTTTCAAAGTTAGAATTAAATTCTGCTAACACAAAACATGTTTCTTTTTATTCCTAGCTTTGAAGTGGAGATTAATGTGATTAATTTAAGTGATTGTTTAAAGTTGTTTTATATTTTATAAGGGGCAGATATAAGAATTTTTTTCTTCTTTCTGCACTCTTTTCATTCAATGTTTTCTTTTTGATGATTTTTTTTAAAAATTTGTTTCATTTAAATGAATGAATAAATTAATTAAATAAAATAAAATGTTAAATGGCTTCAAACACCTGCTAAGTTCATGGCATAAACCAACGTTCCTGTTTTTAGTATTTTACATCACTTTATAATGTAGCTGTTTATGTTTTTAATATATATAATTTTCAAATCATGTTTTTTATGATTGTCTACTGTTGTACTGATAAATATCTTCTGGAGGGTAAATTATATCTTGGCTGCAAGTATCGAGCTGAGAAATCCTTCGTTTTCTAGAACTGATAGTGGTTGGTCATTAATTATGATGAAGTTTAGCAACTTCTCTGTAAACATTTGAGCTTCATGGTTTCAGCGTCTTCTTCTTGTTCAATCCGAAGCAGGCAGCCTGATTTGGGGCAGCTGCGCTCAGTCTGTCCCTCCTCAGAGACGGGCAGACTGAGCGGGGCAGATTGGACGCGGCTGGCCGGGGTCGAGTCGCCTGTTTTGGGTTGAGCAAAGAGCAGCGCCCCGCTGAAGCCACGGAGCTTGAATGTCCATCATAAAACTAACTTTACCGCAGTTTAATGTGGCGCTATGGCTCTGCAGTCATTGCACGATGCTGTCTTGTTTTGTGGTGTTTAGTGTAAAATACTTCCACACAGCGGACATGTTTACATGAAAAGTTTGTTAACTGTTAGCCACAGTGCTGCTAACTCTGCCCTCACGTTGTAGCTGGCTGCAAACTATGAACTGGATTTCCTGAATGTGAGGTGGGTCTTATTACTCTGGGCTCATGAGACACGCCGCCGTTCAGGAAATACATTCCATAGTTTGAAGCCAACATGCATCATGGATCGGAAATATTAGCAGGTGGATCGGAAAATCCGATACGTAAATTATGCTGGTATCGGAGGCTGATACCGATACTGGATCGGATCGGCCCCATACCTAATACAGACTTTTTCCAAAAAAATTAGAATATCATGGAAAAGTTGTTTAACTTCTGTAATTCCTTTCAAAAAGTTAATATTTAATAGATGATAGATTCAGGGCCCACATTTTAAACGATTTAATGTATTTAATTGTTTATTTTCACATAATTTGGGCTTCCAGATCATGAAACCCACGAAAACAGGAATTCAAAAAATTAGAATACTGTGGAGACATCAGCCCACAAGATTTCTTAGTTTTTGCAGAAATAAAATAAAATTAGGATCGCAACAAATCAATCAAAATATGCTACTTTCAGATTTCCTTGATGCTTGCTGTCAGTTCTTCTTTGTTGTTGGTCTGGTGCTCCTCATGTTCCTCTTGAGAATATCCCATGGATTCTCAACGGGGTTTAGGTCCGGTGAGTTGGCTGGCCAGTCAAGCACTGTGGCATGGGCATCAAACCTGGTTTTGGTGCTTGTGGCGGCATGGACAGGGGCCAGGTCCTGCTGGAAGATGAAATTTGCATCTCCATACAGATCCTCAGCAGAAGGAATCATGAAGTCCTCTAAAACATTCTGGTAGACTTTTGAGGTGACCTTGGATTTAAGAAAGCAGAGTTTACCAACACCTGCACCGGACATTGCACCTCAAATCATGACTGAGTGTGGATATTTCACATTGAACCTCAAGCAGTATGGGTTCTGTTCCTCACCCTTTTTCCTCCAAACCCTTGGACCTTGATTTCCAAATTAAAGCCACACTTTACTTTCATCGGAAAAGAGGACCTTGGACCACTGGCCAATGGTTCAGCCCTTCTTCTCCTTGTCCCAGTTGATACGCTTCCTACGTTGGCTCAGGATCAGAAATGGCTTGATCCGAGGAACCCGACAGTTGTAGTCCATCTCCCGGACACATCTGAACGTGGTGTTTTTTTGAAGCTGTGACTCCCGCCTCATTCCACTCTTTCCGGATCTCTGCCAGATTCTGGAATCTTCTCGGTTTGATAATCTGCTGAAGCCCACGGTCATCTCTTTTGCTGGTGCATCTTCTCCTGCCACATTTTGCCCTTCCACTAGACTTTCCATTGATATGCTTGGACACAGCACTCTGTGGACAGCCAGCCTCCTTAGCTATGAACTTTTGTGGCTTATCCATCCTATGGAGGGTATCAATGATGGTCTTCTGGTCAGTTATGTCTGCAGTCTTTCCCATATTGAACCAAACTGAGACAATTGAACTGAGACAATTGAACCAAACTGAAGCAATCTAGTGACACCTGGGGAAACCTGTGCAGGTGCTTTGAGTTTA